CTTTACCATTTACCAAATAAAAGCATGTAATCCAAAGAAATAATAATAATAATATGTAAATTTTGGGTCCTCACTTTCAATTTTTCAATGTAGCCAATCATCTTTAATATGTGTACTGTGAGAACCCTGAAAATGTATATATACAAATATCATTTTATATTTCATTGGAGATTCTTAACCTGCAATAAAGTATAGTCTTATCCTTCTTTGTTTTCACAATGAGTGCGTAAGAATAAATTTTACGTGCAAACTGACACATTTGTATCAAATTATTATTTCCTTTGACTTTATTATACTAAATCAATAAATTTTGAATTAGATTAACTCTATTTCTTGAGAATAAATAGTTGGAAATCCTGATAACTAATTTAATCGTTAAATAAGGTTAGGATTTACTAGGAACCTTAATACAAGATTGTAATCGATAAATTTTTGATAAAAATGGTTTAAGTATATTAGATATACGTAGGACGTAACAATTTCGATAATCGAAATCCTTGTGAGCCTAGTACACTATTGGGAGTTTAAATCATTCTTAGGGATAATTCGTGAGATTATGCTCGAATCAAGGGCTTAAGTAGTCATTGAAGGAAAAGTGAAAAGTCCAAAATACCCTTCACAATTCCACAAAATCACCATACAACCACAACAATTCCATGCAAAGCCAAACACTCCCTCGGACAGCATGATCATCCACCACCCTAACCGGCCAACCCGCATCTTCACCACTTCAACACACAACCCCTGCCTACACTCAACCCTTCTCAACACCGCGGCACCATCTCCCTCCCTTCTCATTCTTATATCGTAAACCACCGCACTCCACTATCTTCGTGAGAGAGCTGCATCCGAGAGCAAGGGAGGAGGGAACGCGAGCTGCAATTTTTTTTCTGTTCTGTCCGCGAGCTGAGGGAAGAGACCAGGAGACCATCGCACTTTTCCTTCTCCTAGCTGTGGCCATTTCCAACTTCAACCAAGCCACATTGCATCAGTCCCAGTTGCAGCTTCAGCAGGAACCAAATCTGTACGTGAGAGCCGAGGGGAAAGAAGAAATTTCAGATTTCTTGTGCGTAGGCTTATCTTGTAACTGAGGTAATTTCTGGGCTAATTAAGTGAATTACTAGTAGATGAAGCCATATCAGAGCTTGCATGTGTTGCTTGTGCTGTCGGTTGATGAAATCAAGTCACTAGAAAAATTCTGTTTTGGTTAAATGGTTTTGCCGAGAAGCTGAGATGGAAATGCAGCTCTTGATTTATTTACCTGTGACAATCTGAGTGTAATTATGTGTTTATCTAATCCAAAAGCAAGAAGATTAAGCCAACTAGGAACATGCATGTTGATTTTAGGCATCCGAATGAATGTTTTAGGAAAAGAAATTCTTTTATGCGCAAGTTATGGAAATAGCCGAGAATCTGACTTGATAATGCAGCTTAAATCTGGTTAATTGGTGTAGCCGAGCTTATTGTGGTGATTAGATAGTTAATAACAAGTTAATTAGGCTCTGTATGTAGTTAATTAATTGGTTTAAACCAGAAAAAAATAAAATCAAAATGCAACCTGCCACATGCAAGTTCACCCGAGCCAAGATGGAAATTTTTTTTTGAAATGTTGGATTAAACCTGCTTCCTTGTGATAATCTAGAACTGTTATTATGTTTAGCTAACTAAAGCTTGGATGATTAATGTGGTTAGAGCCTTGCATGATAATTTTATGCATTCGGATGATGTATTAAGAAGCACAAGAAACTCTGTTTTGATGTATTATGCCTGCCGAGAGCTTGTCTTGATTCATACAGCTCCATTTGGTTTAATTTTGTTGCTTTGAGCCTATAACCATAATTAACCAGTTAATAACAAGATAATGGGGCTTTGCATAAAGTTAATTTGTTGAGTTAGTACAGAAAATAAAAACAAAAAAATGCAATCAGCTTCATGCAGCTGGAACCGCAGCTAGCCAGAAATTTCTGGAAATTTTGGAGGACCTTTATCGTTAATTGAACCAAATTTCTGTGACAGATATGGTAATTAACTAGCTAAGTGATGGCATGTCGAATTGAGCACCTAATACTCTGTTTTAGCCAAGAAAATATTGGATTTATGAACAATGAAGTGCTGGAAAATATTGATAGCCGAATGGTTTGTTTTTGGAAATTTTATTGTGGTAGTAAAAGGTTGAGTTGGAATTCCAGTTTGGTTGTGAAGTTATTCTTTGAAGCATAATGATTAGAAATGCCTGGAATAAATTGTTTTAAAGCTTTATAAGATATATGGATGTGAAACTCTTGATGTCTTGGGAGATTGAATTGGAAATAGTGAAGTGTAGCGGTGGATATAAGCTGGAAAATTTTCCAGCCTTAGCCAAGTTTGATAAGGAATTATTTTTCTTTGTTGAAGGTTACTTGGTTTATAACCAATTGTGACTTAGTCGATGGGATTCCTCGATTCCAAAGACCTGTGGGTAAATTTAAATATTTGAAATGTTAGCTTTATTGCTATAAAAGCGAATTGTGGGATGCTAAGGGCTAATGATTGAAGAAGCCCTTAGCCACTTGAATGATTTTTAAGTATTAAAGGGTGATGAAATTTAATTGATGGAATTTCTTTTTTTTTGAGGCCTTACCTTCATTTTTATTTAGTTAAAATGCGATATGAGCTTGCCAAAAACCAAGTGCTAATGATGGACGAAGCCTTGGTCTTTTGTTTAATTCTTGATCAGCAATGAATCTATTAAAACCTAGGGCTAATGATTGACGAAGCCCTAGTGAGATTTCTATTTGAAATGAGAGTTGGTTATATTGACAATCTGAAATATTACGTGCTTGCCAATCGGAATCCGTTTTGGTCCTGTGAACTTGAGAAGTTTTAAGCAAGCTATTTAGATATATCTTCACTCTAGTATGGTACGATAAAACTTAGTATTATATGTTAAAGTTAGAAGTTTCGTTGAGAGAGTTTCTAAACCTTGCCGACTCGATATTTCCTCCTTTAAGCGTAAACTAGCCTTATTACTTTTAGAAAATGATTTCACTAGTTTTAAAACCCTAAGTCTTGATCTATTTCCTTTTCTTTCCTTAAAATTGTCCTTGGCTGATTGTCTAGAGGAAAATTTCCAAAATACAAGATTTTAGTGACTTTAACTAAAAATAGCAGAAAACTTCCTCGGCAAGAAAATTTATTCTAAATAAAATAGTACCAGCCGCACTCGTATAAAGAAAAATATTTTTAAGGAAGCCATACAAAACATTTCCTACTTTTACTAAATTCCAATCCTAAGTGAATGGTCGAATTATTTCAAGAAAATAATACGAGTTACCCCTTTAAAAGGAAAAGTATCTCAAGGAAAAACTATTAGAAACATTTTTACTACTTTTGTCAAGTTTCATCCTAAGTAGATTTTTGAAATTACTTGAGAAAATAAACTAGTAATATATTAGATAATTCCTTATACTAATAAGCTTAAAAAAAATTGAATAGAAAACTTATAGTTTTAAAATTTGGTATTTTAGGGTTTAGCGAGGACGCAGACTTTGATTCCCAGCTTGATCAGTAACTTCACTCTTGGTGAGTGTCCCTGCTTGTTCTATTCCTACGTGATTTAAAGTGCTTTCTTGACTTGGAAATGTGGTACTTGCAAAAGTGATTTCTGATCCATCGAAGTGAGCAGTGTGTACTTTATCGCACTAGCCTTTCGAGTGGTGACTTGCGTGAATCATTTTTTTTTTTATGAATCTAAACGTAGTTGTGTCGTTGGGTGAATCCCTCGACGCATGAATCTAACTGCAATAACGTCGTTGGGTGAATCCCTCGACCAATTTTCTAAGGGTATGTCTCGAGCATACTGCTTCCTTAGTCGGTGTTCGGGCCCGGGACAGGGGTAAGAGCGGTGACGGGTTAGGATTAAAATGAGTGGATCTACAGGGACTATAAGTAGTGAGAGTTGACGGAGGGTCAACTACGACGAATGGTGATCAAGCGAGGAAAATGGCTCCTGAGAGCCCCTGTATCCTACCTTGTGCTGTTAGCTGCTTTTATTAAGTGTGAAATTGAAATATTCGTTACTGGCCTTATGTAATTGCATGTTTTGGGGCACCACTGAGCTTTAGCTCACCCCACGTTCATTTGTTTTCCTTACAGGTCTTGAAGTTTGAAAGAATTTGAGCTGCTTATATTTCTTATGAATGTACTTGAACAACTTGAATTTAAATTTCGGTTTGTAATGACTCCTAAGTTAAGCTTTGTACCTTTCATCTTGGATTGCCACTTGAAGCTGGAAAAGTGTAATCCCTAATTCTGATATTCGGTATGTATGTTTGTATTGGTGTGATCTGGCTTTAACCCTTGTGGGTAACGCGTGAAGTGTTTAAGAGCTGTCGTTTGGTTAAGTTTGTATGCTGTTATCTTTGAAGTTAATGTGGTGATAGAAATCGATTTATTTCGGAAGAATTATTTTTGTAATAGTTTAGGTTAATCGTCGGAAGGTTTTGGGTTAGAATGCTTGCGTGAGTCCTGGCGAGAGCTGGGCAGACGGCCCGCCAACCCTCTGGTTCGCCTTAGGGGGAAGTGGGGTCGTCACAGGTGGTATCAGAGCCTAGGTTAGAAAAGTTATCCGAGAGATATATTAGACTAGTTAGAAACCCTAACTCTTTTCAGAAGCAGGAATTGAGACCCTTAGATATAGCTTAAGTAATATCCGATTCAGTTAGTTATTTAAGTTCTAACCTTTAAGTTTTAATTATTTTGCAGGTATGGAGAACGGTAATGGACATGCTAATGGTAATGGAGCGTCTAATGGACATATAGAGCCTCTTAGGTCCATCTCATATAGGCCACGAGGCGGAGGAGCTCATATACGCTACTCCCCAGCTGATCGGCATCCTCGGTGTCAGTGTAGGGCCACCCATGCCTACCCCAATGAGTTAGTACTATCCCTAGATGATGAGCGTCGCCAGTTGAGGGACGCTAAACTTACTTTGACTTAGGATGTAGAGGAGCTGAGTATCATGGTGGACACTCAGTTCGACCGTATAGCTGAGTCAGAGCAGAGGGTAGCAGCGGAGCATGCTAGGCTGGAGGCTGCTCGCGTAGAGATAGCGCGTCAGAGATCGAGGGTGACTCGATTGGCCGAGAGGATACGTGATAGGAGTGCCGGTATCAGGGCTGATGCCGCGATGATGATAGATGAGGCCACGAGTATCCTTCAGGGTGTCGAGCAGGAGGACCCGGAAGAGGATCCGGAGGAGGATCCAGAGGAGGACCCGGAAGAGGATCCGGAGGAGGACGTAGCTCCTGATAGCCCTGCTGAGGGTTAGGCTGGGATCGATTTGACCATACTAGATATGTAGGGTTAGAATAGGGGGACCTTAGCTAGGTCATCAATTTTGGTCTAGGTGGATGACTTGCTTCCAAGGCACATATCCCTAATTTTTGTTTAAGGGATTATTTGTATGTATTTTGCTAGCTCTTGTGCCTTATTTTTGGAAAATGTCCCAACCTGCTATCTGTATGACTTTCACGCATGAATATATGTTAAATGCTTTATTTTCTTTTTCCCTCCATTTCTAAGTTGATTTCTAGCTACAAAGGGAATAATAACAGTTATAAATAAACAATCAACTTCCCTAATTGCCCTACTTTTTATAATAGGCATAACTAAGCTATGGATCGTCAAGTGATAGGAAGGAGCCATGGGAGACCCACTAGACAACACCCGGAAGCGGGTGGTGATAGGGAACCCGAGGTCAATCAAGACCAAGGGCAAGAAGGTGTGGCCGGAGACCAAGTGGCCACCGCAATCAATCGTATCACTGATGTCTTAGAGCACTTGACTGAACACCAAGTCTCTGGACCAGTGCATCACCAAGGAGGTCCAGCCGATTCCGATGATCGGGCACTGGAGAGGTTTCTGAAGTTCGGACCTCCCAAATTTTATGGAGGACCTGAACCGGAGGTAGCTGAAGGATGGTGGAAGAGAATCTCCGATATCTTTGCAGCTTTAAACTATACGGAAGAGCGACAAGTAACTTTTACCGCATTCCAGTTTGAGGGAGCCGCTCGCTCCTGGTGGAACCTGGTGAGGGTTACCTGGGACACGAACCATACTCCACGGACTTGGGCGAACTTCACAAGGGAGTTCCATGCCAAATTCCTTCCACCTCTCGTTCAAGAGAAGAGAGAGGACGAATTCATAAAATGTAAGCAAGGGGCGATGAGTGTCGCCGAATATGAGGTTCAATTTACGAAGCTGTCCCGCTTTGCTCCTGAATTGATAGCCACGGAGCAAAGGCGTATCAGACGATTCGTGCAAGGACTGAATGTGGAAATACAGGAAGGTTTAGCTGCCGTGAGGATAGACACTTTCGCAGATGATGTCGAGAGAGCCCAGAGAGTTGAAGTAGCTAGAGCCCAAGTGAAATCTTTTCAGGCCAAGAAAAGATTTGCTCCTAGCAGTAGTCGGGAGCCGGCATCTGGAAATGCTCCACCGGCCAAAATGGGCCGAGGAACCAGTGGAGTGACTAGTCCTGGAGCACCACGAGGTGCTCAAGCAAGAGGAACCGGGGCAAGGAATGCCGGGGGAAGAAATAATGGAGCTAGAGGAGGATCGAATGGAAGGGGACAACCTAAGAATACCTCACTAGGAGGCCGAGCAATAACTCCCCAAATGACTTGTGCCTACTGCAAGAAACCTGGTCATACTATGGATGGCTACTGGAAGAAGCAAGGAAGGTGCTTGAGATGTGGTAGTAGCGAGCACCAAATTTCAGGATGTCCAAAAATGCAGGAAGGGACTACCCCAAACGCTAGACCAAACACTTCTGGAGGAAGCCGGCCGACAGTTCCTGCTAGAGTGTATGCTATAGATGACCACCCCGTACCTGATTCCTCGGAAGTTGTGGAAGGTACACTCCCGATTTTTCACCGATTAGTTAAAGTGTTAATTGACCCTGGTGCAACCCATTCATTCGTAAATCCATCTTTTATGTCTGGAATAGGTGTGAAACCTATTAGATTACCCTTCGATCTTGAAGTTAGGACACCCATGGGTAATAAGAATGTAATCAATAGCTTGGCTTATAAGAATTGTGAATTCTGGATTGGAGAGCGTAAGATGCTAGTGGATCTGATCAGTCTGGACATAAAAAGTTACGATGTTATAATAGGAATGGATTTTCTAGGCCATTATCATGCTAAACTTGACTGCCGAGTAAAAGTGGTGGAATTTTGTATACCTGGAGAAGCAACCCTGAGGTTAGATGTTAAGGGTAGGTTAGCATCATCTACTATGATCTCAGGAATTCGGGCAAGGAAAATGTTGTCTAAAGGAGCGCAAGGTTTCTTAGCCTTCTTGATTAACGCTCCCAGTGATCAAGTGAAGTTGGAGGATGTACCAGTGGTACAGGAATTTTCGGACGTTTTTCCCGAAGAGCTAAAGACTCTACCGCCGGAAAGAGAAGTGGAATTTAAGATTGACTTGATGCCTGGAACGGCTCCAATTTCTAAGACCCCGTATCGAATGGCTCCTGCCGAGCTAAAAGAATTGAAAATTCAATTACAGGACCTGTTGGAGAAAGGTTTTGTGAAGGAGAGCGATTCACCATGGGGAGCACCCGTCCTATTCGTTAAGAAAAAGGATGGAAGCTTGAGGTTATGTATCGATTACCGAGGGTTAAATGAGGTTACAATTAAGAATAAATACCCTCTACCGTTGATTGATAGCTTGTTCGACCAACTGCAAGGATCAGTGGTCTTCTCTAAGCTGGATTTAAGGCAAGGGTACTATCAGTTGAAGATTAAGAGGGAAGATATACCCAAGACTGCTTTTAGTACAAGATATGGATATTTTGAGTTCGCAGTCATGCCTTTTGGACTAACCAACGCACTAGCTGCTTTCATGGACCTGATGCAGAGAATTTTTAAGAAGTATCTGGACCAGTTTGTAGTGGTTCTCATAGATGATATCCCGATTTACTCCAAGACTAGAGAGGAGCATGCTAAACACTTAGAGGTGGTTTTGCAGATACTAAGAGAACATAAGCTGTATGCCAAATTCAGTAAGTGTGAGTTTTGGCTGACTGAAATATCTTTTCTAGGGCACAGAGTTTCTGAAGATGGAATTGCCGTGGATCCGGCAAAAGTTAAGGCCGTTATGAATTGGAAACAGCCAGAGACTCCAACTGAAGTTAGAAGTTTCTTGGGTTTAGCAGGTTATTATAGGCGGTTTATCCAGGATTTCTCTAAAATTGCAGGACCTATGACTGAGCCAACCAAGAAAGGGACTAAGTTTATTTGGACTCTGAAGTGCGAGTCAAGTTTTCAGGAATTAAAGAAGCGTTTAACATCCGCTCCTGTTTTGGTATTACCTGATGGAGGAGAAGGTTATGCCGTATACTCTGATGCTTCCAGAGAAGGTCTAGGATGTGTCTTAATGCAAATGGGTAAGGTAGTTGCCTATGCTTCTAGGAGATTGAAACCCCACGAACAAAACTACCCAACTCATGATCTAGAACTAGCTGCAGTAATTTTCGCCTTGAAGAAATGGAGACACTACTTGTATGGCGTGACTTTTGAGGTTTATACGGACCATAAGAGCCTCAAGTATTTGTTCTCCCAAAAGGAGCTAAATTTGAGACAAAGGCGATGGGTAGAATTTCTGGAATATTATGACTGTTCGATTAATTACCATCCAGGAAAAGTCAATGTGGTAGCTGACGCTCTAAGTAGGAAGGCCCAAGTAGCAGGGTTAATGGTAAAAGAGTGGGATATGTTAGAAGAAATAAGTGGTTGGAACCCTCGCTTGGAGAAATTGAAGGTTTTACTTGGGAACTTATCATTGAAGTCACCGTTACTAGAGCGTATTAAGGAGGCCCAGAAAACGGACCCTACGATTCAGAAGAATTTGGAGAAAGTGCAAAAAGGGGAAACCCTAGACTTCAAATTAGGGTCTGAAGGGGTATTGAGGTTTCGAGATCGAATTGTGATTCCGGCAGATGAGGAGTTAAGGAAAGGAATTCTAGAAGAATCACATCGGTCGAAGTATACTATACACCCAGGTGTGACCAAGATGTATCATGATGTGAAGGGATTATACTGGTGGGAAGGTTTGAAAAAGGACGTGGCAGCGTTTGTACAGAGATGCTTGATCTGCCAACAAATAAAAGCTCAACATCAGAAGCCCTCTGGTTTATTGCAACCGTTAGAAATCCCTGAATGGAAATGGGAACACATAACAATGGATTTTGTAACGGGACTGCCTAAAAGTCAAAAAGGATCTGATGCAATTTGGGTAATAGTCGATCGACTCACTAAGTCTGCACATTTCCTACCTGTAAGCATGAGTTTTTCATTGGAGAAATTGGTCAAGTTGTACACAGAAGAGATCCTAAGGTTACATGGTATTCCAGTGAGTATCGTGTCTGATCGAGATCCAAGGTTTATCTCGCGTTTTTGGCAGAAATTTCAAGAGTCTTTGGGGACCAAGTTGAAGTTTAGTACTGCGTACCATCCCCAAACCGACGGGCAGTCGAAAAGGACAATTCAAACTCTGGAGGATCTACTGAGGTCGTGCATACTGGATTTTGGAGGTAATTGGAGCCAATATATGACCTTAGTGGAATTCGCATATAACAACAGCTATCAGGCTTCGATTCAAATGGCACCTTATGAAGCTTTGTATGGAAGAAGGTGTCGATCTCCGATTCATTGGGATGAAGTTGGAGGAAAGAAAATCGTAGACCCTATAGCTATACCTTGGATAGAAGAAGCCCAGGAGAAAGTAAAATTAATTAGAGAAAGGCTTCAAGTTGCTCAGAGTAGACAAAAGAGCTACGCCGACACAAGGAGGAAAGATTTGGAATTTGAAGTAGGAGACAAGGTTTTTCTAAGAATTAAACCCTTGAAGGGCGGAGTAGTGTCTAAGAAAGGTAAGAAGCTAAAGCCAAGGTATATCGGACCTTTCGAAATTTTGAAGAGAGTTGGGATTGTAGCATACCAGTTGAAATTGCCTGCAAGCATGGCTAAGATTCACGATGTATTTCACGTTTCCATGCTTAGGAAATATTATTCTGATCCAAGTCACGTGTTGCCACTGGAAGGAATTGAGGTGGATGAGACGTTAACGTATGAAGAAGGACCAGTCAAGATTTTGGAAAGGGAAGTAAAGGAGCTGAGAAATAAGAAAATTCATCTGGTAAAGATTCTATGGAAAAATCATGGATTAGAGGAAGCAACTTGGGAATTAGAAGAAGAAATGCAGAAAAAGTACCCCAGTTTATTTCTTTAGAAAGAGTGAATTTTGAGGACAAAATTTATTGTAAGGAGGGGAGGATGTGAGAACCCTGAAAATGTATATATACAAATATCATTTTATATTTCATTGGAGATTCTTAACCTGCAATAAAGTATAGTCTTATCCTTCTTTGTTTTCACAATGAGTGCGTAAGAATAAATTTTACGTGCAAACTGACACATTTGTATCAAATTATTATTTCCTTTGACTTTATTATACTAAATCAATAAATTTTGAATTAGATTAACTCTATTTCTTGAGAATAAATAGTTGGAAATCCTGATAACTAATTTAATCGTTAAATAAGGTTAGGATTTACTAGGAACCTTAATACAAGATTGTAATCGATAAATTTTTGATAAAAATGGTTTAAGTATATTAGATATACGTAGGACGTAACAATTTCGATAATCGAAATCCTTGTGAGCCAAGTACACTATTGGGAGTTTAAATCATTCTTAGGGATAATTCGTGAGATTATGCTCGAATCAAGGGCTTAAGTAGTCATTGAAGGAAAAGTGAAAAGTCCAAAATACCCTTCACAATTCCACAAAATCACCATACAACCACAACAATTCCATGCAAAGCCAAACACTCCCTCGGACAGCATGATCATCCACCACCCTAACCGGCCAACCCGCATCTTCACCACTTCAACACACAACCCCTGCCTACACTCAACCCTTCTCAACACCGCGGCACCATCTCCCTCCCTCCTCATTCTTATATCGTAAACCACCGCACTCCACTATCTTCGTGAGAGAGCTGCATCCGAGAGCAAGGGAGGAGGGAACGCGAGCTGCAATTTTTTTTCTGTTCTGTCCGCGAGCTGAGGGAAGAGACCAGGAGACCATCACACTTTTCCTTCTCCTAGCTGTGGCCATTTCCAACTTCAACCAAGCCACATTGCATCAGTCCCAGTTGCAGCTTCAGCAGGAACCAAATCTGTACGTGAGAGCCGAGGGGAAAGAAGAAATTTCAGATTTCTTGTGCGTAGGCTTATCTTGTAACTGAGGTAATTTCTGGGCTAATTAAGTGAATTACTAGTAGATGAAGCCATATCAGAGCTTGCATGTGTTGCTTGTGCTGTCGGTTGATGAAATCAAGTCACTAGAAAAATTCTGTTTTGGTTAAATGGTTTTGCCGAGAAGCTGAGATGGAAATGCAGCTCTTGATTTATTTACCTGTGACAATCTGAGTGTAATTATGTGTTTATCTAATCCAAAAGCAAGAAGATTAAGCCAACTAGGAACATGCATGTTGATTTTAGGCATCCGAATGAATGTTTTAGGAAAAGAAATTCTTTTATGCGCAAGTTATGGAAATAGCCGAGAATCTGACTTGATAATGCAGCTTAAATCTGGTTAATTGGTGTAGCCGAGCTTATTGTGGTGATTAGATAGTTAATAACAAGTTAATTAGGCTCTGTATGTAGTTAATTAATTGGTTTAAACCAGAAAAAAATAAAATCAAAATGCAACCTGCCACATGCAAGTTCACCCGAGCCAAGATGGAAATTTTTTTTTGAAATGTTGGATTAAACCTGCTTCCTTGTGATAATCTAGAACTGTTATTATGTTTAGCTAACTAAAGCTTGGATGATTAATGTGGTTAGAGCCTTGCATGATAATTTTATGCATTCGGATGATGTATTAAGAAGCACAAGAAACTCTGTTTTGATGTATTATGCCTGCCGAGAGCTTGTCTTGATTCATACAGCTCCATTTGGTTTAATTTTGTTGCTTTGAGCCTATAACCATAATTAACCAGTTAATAACAAGATAATGGGGCTTTGCATAAAGTTAATTTGTTGAGTTAGTACAGAAAATAAAAACAAAAAAATGCAATCAGCTTCATGCAGCTGGAACCGCAGCTAGCCAGAAATTTCTGGAAATTTTGGAGGACCTTTATCGTTAATTGAACCAAATTTCTGTGACAGATATGGTAATTAACTAGCTAAGTGATGGCATGTCGAATTGAGCACCTAATACTCTGTTTTAGCCAAGAAAATATTGGATTTATGAACAATGAAGTGCTGGAAAATATTGATAGCCGAATGGTTTGTTTTTGGAAATTTTATTGTGGTAGTAAAAGGTTGAGTTGGAATTCCAGTTTGGTTGTGAAGTTATTCTTTGAAGCATAATGATTAGAAATGCCTGGAATAAATTGTTTTAAAGCTTTATAAGATATATGGATGTGAAACTCTTGATGTCTTGGGAGATTGAATTGGAAATAGTGAAGTGTAGCGGTGGATATAAGCTGGAAAATTTTCCAGCCTTAGCCAAGTTTGATAAGGAATTATTTTTCTTTGTTGAAGGTTACTTGGTTTATAACCAATTGTGACTTAGTCGATGGGATTCCTCGATTCCAAAGACCTGTGGGTAAATTTAAATATTTGAAATGTTAGCTTTATTGCTATAAAAGCGAATTGTGGGATGCTAAGGGCTAATGATTGAAGAAGCCCTTAGCCACTTGAATGATTTTTAAGTATTAAAGGGTGATGAAATTTAATTGATGGAATTTCTTTTTTTTTGAGGCCTTACCTTCATTTTTATTTAGTTAAAATGCGATATGAGCTTGCCAAAAACCAAGTGCTAATGATGGACGAAGCCTTGGTCTTTTTGTGAGAACCCGTAATTTGCAGTTTCTAGGTTTCGTATTTTTCATGGCTTGTTTTCTGCATTTTCGTGTTTAGAAAAAATTTCTAGATAACTTTAAGAAGCAGATATAAATTTTAGATGATTTTTCTAGTATCGAATAGGTTTTGAGAAATTAAGAGCGTATATTGGACGTGGGACCCGCTAGTGCGGAAAGTTCGGTAAAATTCGGCCAACTAGGTTAAGTTTTGGATACTGGAATTAATTTACCAGGTGTTATGAGATATCTAGAGGTTGCCAAGTGGATTGTTGTAAGAGAGACACAAAAGTTAGGCATACATTTAATGAAGGTGACATGTGTCACCATATGATTAAATCTTGTTTTGACTTACTATTCAACCTTTTACCATTTACCATAATAACTTCAAAAATTGACCAAAATATCTTCATTTCTAAGCTTCATATGGCCGGCCACCTTCAAGCAATAAGGGAAGAAAAGCTCTCCAATTTCTTTGCTCCAAGCTTGCTTAATCTTCACTTTTAACCGTTTAATTCTAGTTTTACTCCATAAAACCTCTTCACTTAGTGTTTGTGAGTTGTTTGGTGGAGTTGTTTGGGAAGCTAAGGTGACAAGTTGCTCTCCCTCTTGTTTTACTAAGGTGAGTAGTGGATGAACCCCTCTCCTCCCTTAATTGATGCCTAAATAATGATTAGTGGTGGTATAAGATGCACTTTTATGGATTATATCTTGATTTTGGTTGAATTGGTGAAGTTTTATAATTTTTGGGGATTTTTCTGTTTTCATATGAATATGATTATGGGGTCATGTATGATGATTGGAAATGATGTTTAAGGACTCTATGAGGTGGAAAAAGTGGACAATTGCAATCAATTTCTGTTTTGGAAGAAATTTCAGAAAATTAGGTTTTGTGAAGGAACATTCTGCCCGAATTTTTAGCTCCTAGTTAGAGGCCGAATTGGCCTTGGATTAAAACATGAAAGTTGTAGGTAATGACATTTTAGAGGTGTCTACAAAATTTCAGGTCAATCGGAGTAGTGTAGAATGAGATAAGTCGAAATTACTATTGCTGTTCTGGTTTTACCTGAATGTAAGAATTGCGCCTGTAATTGGTTGTTTTGGCTGGAATTGATTCCGAATTGGTTGTTGAGGCCTTCTGATGAAATTTATCCCTGTTTCTTAGCTTTCATCTGGTTTTGGAATTTCTGGATTTGGACTTGGAGAGCCTGAGTTATGATATTTCCGCTAGAATGCGTTTTGGTGAATCTGTTTTACGTTTTTGACGTAGTAT